CTGAAACAATTCTTTGGATCTCTGTAGAAGATGTCAATTTCAACTATTTTTTCAAAAATAGTCATTTGTAGTAAATGTTCACTTGTAAGCAAATGAAAAATCTTTCCGTTTCCCAGATCCACAATTTCATCAAAATATTTTTCATTTGAATCATATGAAAACCAGTACTTTTTTCTCGAAGGTGACTTAGACGTAGCTAATTGTTTTTCTAAAATCTCTAACTCTTTTAATCTCGAGTTCTCTCCATTCTGAAAGATCTATAATAATTTGCTCACTAGCCTGGAGTTTTTGTTAATTTTGAGAATCTTGACAGTTTCGGTACCAATTTCAAACTGGATGCAGTAACTTGCCCGTTCTATTATGATTGGCTTCAAAGTTTGAGATAGACTTCCGTTACTTCTGGAATTTTTTCTCATGTTGGTAAAATTAACTGAACTGCAGGAGATTTTCAAATGAAATGAAATGTATTTTTTTTTCAGTTGTAGATTTTGTTGAATTTCTCATAAAAAAACTGAACTCCTTCAAAAATTTTGCAACACTTTAATTGTTGACTTTAATTGTTTATGAAGTATTTTTTGGAATAAAAATTTTTTGTTGACTAAGGTTTTTCAAAAGGGAAGAATTTCATTGGAAACTATTCCTATTATTTACAACCTTGGTTGCGTATCTTTATTTAGATTTCAAAAACTAGCAAAATAACTAAAATCCACAATTTTTTTTCATCAACCTCATCACCTTAGAGTTAGTTCTGGAATTTGATTGGTTAACTTTTTGTGGTTATTTGTAGAATTTAGAAGATTGAGAAAAACCTAGAAGTGAATATGTCATGACTTCTTATAAAATTCAAGTATTTAATCTGTAGATTCTAAAAATTAGAAGATTCTACAATTTAATAAACAATGACGTCAATTTCTCTGGTGGAAAGATTCCACAACTTTTGCTGTTCTATAAAAGTTAAAGTGTAATGACGTCAATTTTTCAGGTGGAATTACTTTTTTTAATACCTAAACAATTCAAAAGACGCCTTCTTAGCTCTGTAGAGGAATCTTGTCAGACCCTCTGAATGGCTTTTTCAAATAATTTTTCTTATGATAATTGAATATTTGTTACAATAATCTTGTCAAAATTAATTTTTTTTCCAGCTTGAACAGTTTTTAACATATAAATGTAAATACTTTTTTTTTACTTGTACCAAAAATTCTCTCAAGAGTTTTTGCAAAATGCAAAAAAAAATCTAAGAATTTTTTTGTAAAATGCACGTTTTTTCTTGGTTTGTTCAAAAATTATGTAAAATTCTAACTTAATTTCTTAAATGATAAGGCAAAATACGCATTATTTTAATGTAAGCATGTTGACTTATTGCTGAAAAAACTTCAATATTGATGTTTTTCATCGCTATTCCCTATGTTAATACCTTGGTTTCAATTGTTTCTGATCAACAGACATGCAAAAATTAGTTTTTTGAAGGATTAAATTTTGTACAAAAATTTCAAAAAGATTAGTAATTAACTGAACTGTGCAAGAGAAATTGTATTGATATATTTCGGCAAGATGCTAAAAGTGTTTTGATTTTTTCTACAAATAGCGAAAATTGTTACATTTTTTTCGACAAATTGCAAAATTTGTTTCAATTTTTCAACAGAATACGAAAAATGTTTCAAGTTTTTCAGCAAGATGGGAAAGTGTTTCAATTATTTCAAGCGTATGCGAAAAAAGTTTCACTTTTTTTGTACAAATGCGAAAATTGTTTCAGTTTTTTTGCCAAAATATGAAAAGTCTTTTAATTTTTTTGACAAAATGCGAAAAATGTTTCAATTTTTTTGACAAGATGCGAAAAGCGTTCAATTTTTTCGACAAGATGCGAAAAGTTTTTTACTATTTTTGACAATATGCGAAATGTGTTTCACTTTTTTGACAAAATGCGAAAAGTGTTTCAATTTTATCTACAAACTGCGAAAATAGTTTGAATTTTTTTTGATCAGATGCAAAAAAATATCAGGTAATTTTCACTTGTGTACAATTGTTGTATTGTTTTTTTTCCATATTATGTGTGCAAAAAAAATCGAGTTTCATAACATGTGTGCAAGTTCGGAGCACTAAATTAAGTCTAGTTTTCATTGAACTTCCCTGATTTCTCATCTATTCTCAGAATCAAAATGAAATTAAAGGAATTAATTGATTACAAAGAATGAAGTTAATGCCAAACAACAATTCTTTACAAAAAAATTTGTTTAAGGAGCTGTCGAGCAGCAGAAGAGTTCTAGAGGTTCTCTATAGAACCCAGAGCTGGACGAGGTTGTAGTGGTTGTTGTGGAGTTGGAGGTATCATTGTTAATAAGAGACCCTCATCTTCATCTATTGTGATGGGGTTTTCGGCTGATCCTGCTTCCTCCCAAGGAAAGAGGAAGGCGTCGATTGGTTGAGCCACAAATCTTGAGTCAGGAATCTCGGGGTAGTTCATTCCCACTTGATCAGAAACTTCCTCCATCATTTGCATTTCTTCAAGTTGGTTCTCTGTCATGGGTACTTGTGTCATATGATGCTCGTGAAAATCCCTTCGCATCATTTCCACCATGTGCCAGACTTGGATTGGGACGCCCATTCGTGCCACAAAATCTCCAGAGACTGTTTCTCGCACATGAAATTGTACTAGATCAGGCAAAAATTTTACAGAGTACATGAGGTTGCTGTTTTGCACTGAGAAGATCATATTGAACACTAAATTGAGTTAAAGAGTAAAAACAAGAAAGAGCTGAGAGAGGGGTAGCTGATGGAAGATAAGTTGAAATTAAGGTATTTACAGCTGAGAGAGGAGGTAGTTGACGGTGGTTTAGTTGAAAATAAAATGATTTTTAGTTAAAAGTTAGGGGTACCTTCAACTCGATTGTGTGGGTTTAACAAATCAGAATTGATTTTCCTTATTTGAATTGTAGTCGTGTCCAATCAGTTTTCAGTTTCCTTTTATGGAATTCTTGGATAAAAGTCGTGACCAATCGGTTACAAAGCTCTATTTTAGGCATTGTCGTTTCCAATCACAAAAATGTTCCCTTTTGTTCTAGTTGCCGTATCTAATCAGAGGAACTTATTAAGGATTAAATCTCCCAAATAAGTAAGAATATACACAAAAGCAATTGCAAAAATAAATGACCAAAAATTGTTTGCTGTAAAAATAAGAAAAATTTCCGGCCGATATACGTAACAAAAGAATAGCGAACAAGTAGCATTTCCAATTTTTGTTCTTCAAGTTAGTTGAATTTGTTGTATGTAATCAATGAAAAAATGCTAATTTTTGAGTAGATAGTCAAGTTTTCTGATTTTGATGTAAATATGGGAGGATAACTCAAAGTTGATGAGTTTTTCAAAGCAAATCTCTGGAAATCTGATTCCGAACCGAATCAAACAGGATTTTGAACTTTAAAAATCCTTAAAGAAATGAAAGAATAAAGAACTTTGCTGGGGAGTTTTTAAAAATTTGGGTGTTGCGTAGGGGATAAAAGAGTTTTTGATATATTATTGTACAACTTTTTGATTTTTTTTTAAAATCTCAATAATAAACCTTGTGAGGTGTAATCCAGCCGTAAGTTTAAAACTTTGATACGCAATATGTGGATCAAAAGTAAACTCTTTGATTGAGTAAGTTTCTCTGACGAGAACTTTACTTAGTCGGATAACTCTATTTTGTGCAATGAAAAGGTCAAAAAATCTATAAAAAAAGCAAGATTCAACATCTATTTCATCAATAAGAAAATCAATTGGAGTTTTTTCTTATTTCTTGCAAAGTAACTCGATGAACTTCAGATGTTTTTTGATAGACATTTTTCAAAAAATGATTATTTTTTTTTAAATAAAAAACAGTTCACTTTTAGAAAATGCTGGATTCTGATTGGTTGATTTCCAACAATCAGTGGTACCAAAGAAGTATTCAATTCTGATTGTTTGATAGCAAATTTGTTGAAAAATCTATGAGAAGTAGAACTCAGTTTTGATTGCTTGACATTAAATTTATTAAAAATTCCATGACCATTGAAAGTCGAATCTGATTGGTTGATATCAGAAGAGATAAAAGTTTCCTTATAATTAATGCTCGTTTCTGATCGGTTGATAGCAAATTTTTTGAAAACTCCATGGTTAGATTGGATAAATTTTATTTCAGCTAGGTTCAATAGCAAATCCATTCTGATTTTCTTTCACGTGAAAAACAATTTGTTAAGAAAATTGCTTTTTTAATCATTTTAATTCATTTTTTGAGGCTATTCAACTTTTCTTTTCTAAGAACTTGGGGCATTCTAAATTTCCAATTCTTTTTTTTTCTACTTCTTGAGATCCCGTCATTGAATAGAAACGAAAGAATTGCATGTGTTGAGTGTGGCAGAGAATACACTCGCTTACACGCATCAAGACATCGAAAGCACTGTGGCGTTTTGAAGTGTTCCAATTGTAATTTTTATAGATATAGCAGCGAAGAACTTACTAATCATATCAAGAAGAAGCATTGTCAACATGATGTTGAATTAAGTGCTCAGCAGGCTCAAAAAAAACTCCAAGAGAAGGTAAAATTGATATATTTTTAATATAAACATAGTTGAATCTGAAAAGTCTATACACTAATTTTGAAAAAGTTCTGGTAACAATTTTACAGTTTTTTCATCATTTTTCTTGTTCTGTCATATTCAAAAGTTCTGATTGATGATAAAACCAGCAACAACCGAGTTCAAATTGTCGTGAAACTTTCAATGGAAATCGATACGAAAATCTTTAATCTACAGTAAAAACTCAATTGGTTGCCAGCTTGCGGGGATTTTATTGCGATAACTTTGTAGTAAAAATGAATCACATACGCTATTGGGTGCTTAAGCATTTGTTAAAATACTAAAAAAACTGGATATTTATAAAACATCGATTAATTGAAAGATTTTGCCTTGTGACTTTTTTACAAGTTTTCCGTGCTTAGTGATTGTAAAAGAAATCATAGTCTAGTGCGTAGCAGATATTGGGGATTGATTTAATAAGAATGATGATTTTCTTTTGCTGTTTTCTACGATTCAGAAAAGAAATTGATAACTGACCTGGAAAATGTTTGTTTTGCTAACATTTGAAAATTTCAAGATCATAATATACATCATTCTCAACCAAAAATATACTTCAAAATAGGAAGTCAGATTTAAAACAGCAACATACAGTTATAGGTCGAGAAAATAAATTAAAGTTTTTTAAAAGGGATTTATGTTATTATTCTGCTTCGGATTAACAAACGTTTGTTGAAATCATACATTTTTCCCTCTAAAACTCAATTTTCAAATAAAACTTTGTTCGAATTGGATTAAGTTGGAAGATAGTCCATGAAGCAGAAACTGAGAAAAAATCAAATTGAGATAGAAACTCAATTCAACTCATTAGGAGTTTAGAAATTTTTTTACTAAAATTTAGCTCAAATAATACATCTTGAGAAAAATCCAACAAAAAAGTGTAATGTTTGGAAAATTTTCATTCATTTGATATACTAGGTTAACTTATATGAAAATTCAGATTTTTTGAAAATAATTTGTTGTGAAGTAGGCCCAACTCCAACATCTTTTGGAAGATGACACATGACGCATAAATCAAAAATTTGCTTTCAAGATCTACATTTCATTCTTTTGGATTGAAAATTTTGATGTAGAAAGATTTTTAGAGAAAATGATTTAGAGCCTGCTGATTAATTCTAAACAAATTATGTATGAACCAGATGTATGATCTCTTAATTCATTGAAAAAAAATTCAATTAGACACACAGTAAAAAATTAGTTCTGTTTAGCTTAATTTTCTTTTTTCAATTAGAAAATTACGTTGAATTATAGATTTTTTGTGCTTAATAAATTTTGCAAAACTTTTAATTGGTTACAGTTTGCACCTTGACTTCTTTTCCTTAATCGATGTTTTAGAGAACAAATCTTTTAAATGATATAAATATTGCAGAAATATGGAATTAAGTTCCCTTGCGTATTTCTACTTCCGAAGGTTTTGCAGGTTATAAGCAAAAGAGCTGCTCTTAATTTATTCTAAGAAATCAACGGAAAAATACACTTTTATATTTTCAAATTAATCATATGCTTTCGAATGCTTAAAATAGCCCCTATTCTTTCTCACTTCGACATTTTTGAAAAAACTTCCCACAAAAATTAAGAACAAAAAGCGATTTACAAACGTTTTTGCAAGAAAAGTGATTGTTGATGATTCGAAAAGTTGGGTTTTTGCTAAAATAGTTTGCTGTAGCAACTAAACAAGGGAATTTAAAGGAGAACATGTACAATTTACATGGTATTAATTAGACGTTATCAGTTCCATTTTTATCTCTGCCAATAAATTGTTTGTTCAATTGATACTATTTCTCCTAAATTCCTCAGTTCTGACTAAGTTTTCTTGCAAAGTGAGTTCAAGTGCGAAAACATGCAATAAGCAGAAAGCAAGAAGAAGCTTAAGACATAGAAAATTTTAACGGAAAATCCATCAAAATTATGTTGTAGAAGCAACAGAGAGACAATCATCAGTTTTGAAGAAGGTTTTGTTGAATATCCTACAATCCAAAATAGTTAAGAGAATTATACCACGTTTTTAGTCAATTTTAGCAGTTCAATTTTCTTCTTTTTTCAATGATCTGAAATTTATCATTAATAAAAATGTTACAAACGTCTCTGAAGTTGTAATTTTTGTACAAGTTTGAGTTATTCTTTGGGAAAAAACTGAGGAGAAGCTGGATCATGGAGTTTGATCTAGAAATTTCAATGAATATTGCTCTTATTGTTCAATTGAATTGAAGTTCCTAGGTGAATTCCTCTTGAATTGAACAAAAATTAGTTAATTACACGAATGAAAGGTTAAAAATGGAAAACTTTGGATAGATTTGATTAATTTTTACTTTCTCGAAAATTACGATTAATTACCTTATTTTCCCGAGAAATCGGAAGTATCATAATTGATTCAATTAATATGAACTTTATATGTTCAGAGCATTATATATACAGCTTTTTAGCTAAAATTATGGTAAAATTTTATCGTATTTCTTTATTTTGAGAGAAAATTGTGGAAAAATCCATTTTTCCATTCAAATTTTGTATCAGTGTCTAAACATGATGCCAATTGAAATACAATTTGAGCTTAATTTTAAACATTTAACGTGTTTACTTTTTATTTAATTAGATCAGAAAAAAAAAACCTGCCAGAACCTAGAGATTTCTGCTGTTCTCTCCAAAAACTTTGAAATTTTTGCAATTTTTTTCAAAAACTTTTGGCATTTTTTCCAGATATTTATTTTCGAAGTTTGAGTAGATTTCAGCATAGTTTCAGCATAGTTTCAGCATAGTTTCAGCTGGATTGAGAACTGTTTTGAAAAGTAAGATTATCTAATAAAACAGTTTTTAAGTCAAAATATATCAAATCTTATCGTGTTTTGAAGTTTTTTGAAAAAACTTTCAATTTTTTTGATAAAAAATCCAATTTTGTGACCATCTTACCATTGACTTACCGTAATCAAAAACCATAATACTTTAATTACACAATCTTCACGTAATACTCACCAAATACATAACGCGTTTTGAGATTTTTGCGAAAAAATTAGACAGTTTCACACAAAATCCAAAAAATACCGTTTTTCATACAATTTTCTTACCATCTTACTGAAACCTTACCATTCCCTATCTTATTACATTGCTAAACATATTCCCTATCTTAATGAGTTCTTAATTCCCTACATTGAATCCTTATACATAGGAAAACTATACACTATCTTAAAACACGGTGAGATCGGGCGCCAAACTTTTTTCTGAAACTTGCCATCTTAAACCTTACCATCTTAGTTAGGAAACCTTACCATCTTAATTACGAAACCTTTTCCCTATATTAATACATAGGAAAACTATTCCCTATTTTAAAAGATAGGCTGATGACCGGATACTGTATTCCCTATCTTATTACATTGGGAATTCTATACACTATACATGAGAAATTCGGGCGCCGAAAAAACTTACCATCTGAAACCTCTCATCTGAAACCTGGTATCTTAAAACATTGGGAAACCTAATCCCTATCTTAATACATTGAAAAATCTATACCCTATTTTAATATATAGGGTGAGGACCGGATACTCTATAGCCTATGTTAATACATGGGAGTCCTCACCGCCCCCCCCCCCCCACTGCTGAACTGCCCCGACATATACTACTAATTTCTAATTGGAAATATTTGAACAATATGAAAACTTTCCACAAAAATATACTTGAGAAACTGTTGTTGCTGGTATTTGTTAAAAAAAAACTTTTAGCTGGAAAATTGATTCTATCTAAAGTGTTTTAGTTGGAGAGTCAAAAAAACTGGAGATAATTTTTGATAAAAATAGTATTGCCAGATTTATGAACACCGTTTTTAATTACAAAAACAAAGGATTGGGTGATCAAGAAATAAATAACAAACCAGGGGAAAACCCTATAAAATAAAATGACAAGGAAAATCATAATTTTGAGTGAACCAATACAGTTGATTTTGATATTGCTTTTGATTAGGTTTTCTAATAATCTTTGATAAAACTATATCTGTGAATAATTCATTCTGTTAGTTAATTTTAGCAAAATTTTTTAAAAATTGATTAGTCAATTGTGACTGGTTGATGTCAAAATGTTTTAAATTTCCCTTACAAGCGAAAATTGATCTTAACTAATTTGTATTAAAATGTATAAAAAAAATCCATTACAGGTAAAACTCGCAACTGATTGCTTGAAATTAAAAAACTGTTGAAAGTTTCAGAATAATTAGAGCTTGATTCTGATTGGTTGATATCAAAACTGTTGAAGATTACCTGATAAATAAATCTTGATTCTGATTGAATGACATCAAAACTTTTGAAAACTTCATTCATATTTCAGCTACACCAAAAAGAATGAATTGCATTCTGATTTTCTTTCACGTTAAAAAGAATTGGTCAGGAAATTTGCAGTTTTTATTTACTTTTGTTCTATTTTTGGGTCTATTCATGTCTTCTACTAAGATTTTTGGTACTTTCGAAATCTCTCATTGGTTCTCCAGTTCTATTTTTATTTATTGAGATGAATAGAAACGAAAGAGTTTCATGTTTTGAGTATGGTAGAGACTATACACGTAAAAATGCGTCGAGGCACCGTAGAACCTATGGAGTTTTAAAGTGTCCCAATTGTAATTTTCATACATATAGCAGAGAGGAACTAAGTATTAAAATAAAGAAGCAGCGTTATTCTTGTCGAGAAACTTTCTACATGGTGATAGAAATCACACTCGGCAGTCTCCCAACACACTCCACAATAAAGTAAATTTAAACATACACAAAAAAAATTATAGGACATATTACTATGATAAAATTTAATGATTGACGAATAAAAGAAAAAATGGGTTATTTTTGCTAGAATTTTAGATTAATTTTTGTATAAATATAAAAAATACTCCAAAAACCATGGAAAATAGAAAAATATGCAGTTATCTGGTTCAGAAGTTACTTAGTAAAAAGGGTTTTTTGATGCTAAATTTGCCTTGGATTAGTGAATGTTTGTTAAATTGATACAGTTATCCATCTACAATAAGTGTTTTGAGCAAAATTTTATTCAAATTGGATTGTAAAACACTGAAATTGGGAGATAATAGATCAAGCAGGAGCCAAGAACATGTTAACTTTGAGTTTACAAGAAAAAAATGTGGAAATTCATTTTAATTGTTGTGAATTTTGCAAATGTAAATTTTGCAAGTATGAATTTTGCAAAATTGCTCTTGACTTTATGTTATGAATAATAGCCTAAGAGAGAATCGAAAGTCAAAAGTCTCAAGTATAGAAATCAATATTATTTTTATCGGGTTTTTGTTTCCATTGTTATAGAATTTAAGGGAAATTATGGAAAATTTAAAGTTCTCAAGCAGATTTGCTTTATATTTGATTTGGAGACAATAGTGATTGGTTTACTGATACTGTTTTTTCGATAAATGATCTTTTAGTGTTAAATTTCATGCAAAAACAA